ACAGGCGCAGGCCTAGTTTCCAGCAGTGCGCCGGTTGTGGTTGCGTCGATGATTGTGTCACCACTCATGCCTCCGATCCTCGGGCTGTGTTTTGGTAAGTTTTGATGTGGCTATTGGTTATGGTTTGGTATGTGTGTGTGATGTTATAGGCTGTGTTTTGGTAAGTGTGGGTGTGGCTATTGGTTGTTGTTTGGTATGTGTATGTGATGTTATAGGCTATGTTTTGGTAAGTGTGGGTGTGGCTATTGGTTGTTGTTTGGTATGTGTGTGTGATGCTATAGGCTGTGTTTTGGTAAGTGTGGGTGTGGCTATTGGTTGTTGTTTGTATGTGTGTGTGATGTTATAGGCTGTGTTTTGGTAAGTGTAGATGTCACTATTGGTTGACTGTTTGGTATGTGTGTGTGATGGTATAGGCTATGTTTTGGTAAGTGTGGATGACACTATTGGTTGACTGTTTGTATGTGTGTTTGATGTTATAGGCTGTGTTTTGGTAATTGTGGATGTCACTATTGGTTGACTGTTTGGTATGTGTGTGTGATGTTATAGGCTGTGTTTTGGTAAGTGTGGATGTCACTATTGGTTGACTGTTTGGTATGTGTGTGTGATGGTATAGGCTGTGTTTTGGTAAGTGTGGATGTTGCTATAGGTCATTGTTTGATAAGTGTGTGTGATCTTATAGGCTGTGTTTTGGCAAGTGTTTGTCTGTGTGTGTGCATGTGTTTTTCTGTGTGCATATGTTTGCCTGTGTGAGCATGTGTGTACATATGTGTGCATGTATTTCCCTCTATGTGCATGTATATCCCACTCTATTCTTATCCGCCGCACCTTGTCCCTCTCTCTCCGCCTTTCAAGGCTAAAACCCTAAAATCGCTAAAACCTTGTCCCCCTCTCTGCTCTTTTCAAGGTGTTATTGTCCGAGATAAGCGCATGATAGTGAAGTCGCTGCGTAATGAAGCCATTGGTGCAGGGCTGTGTGTGCTTGTTGGTATATTCATGGGCATTGGCTGTATCCCATTCCGCGAGTATATCGGATACCCAACACCCGAGATGCAGTCCAGGGGAAATGTTGTAGCTGTGCTTAGTATGTGGAAGCTCGGGGTATGAACAGGCCTGGTCGCATGTGTGTGAGGGTGTGTGCGTATGTGTGTGTGTGTTTGTGTGTGTGTGTGTGTGTGTGTGTGTGTGATTGTGTGTATGTGTGTTTATCTCCATCTCGTACTATTGTGCGGACATCGGTAGTTTGACGCGCTAGTACGTATGTTCTCGTTGTATACTATTACCATAGTGTGTAGAGACTTCTATATGGCTATACATATCTGTGTTCTTTATCGATGTGGGTAGACGTATATATGTAGACGTATCCAGGTAGACGTATGTAGGTAGATGTAGATATATCACATCGATTCTTCACCTTGTGTTTGGCAGGCTGAGGCCTGACTACTGTATGGCTATACAACATGACTGTGTTCTTGTCGATGTAGATAGACGTATGTAGGTAGACGTATGAAGGTAGATGTAGATGTATCACATCGATGCTTCACTTGTGTTTGGCAGGCTGAGGCCAGTGTGATCACGTGTACATGACAAATGGCCATGGTTTCTCGCGCGCATGTGACGTTTAAGTGAATTTTATACTTTGATTTGGCTAGTTCAATTGTTGCAGTGAATCGTGAACAGTAAACCTGACTGGTCAAAGGCTCACTACGCGCTTTAGTATTGTTTATATCCACTGCAAAGGGTGTGGTTGTACACCACTAAGGTTGAAATGGATACGTATGCGAGTATATACCAATGCAACCCAAAACCCCTAAAACCCTAAATGCAAGCAGATTTTGCATATATGTGTATTTACCAACGTAAGACAGTGTTTATTTGGCACAGCTGTCGTATTCCTCTCAGACATTGCAGTAGCGTTCCAGGCGTTTCTCGCTCACAATCGAATGTAGCTTTCATTGGCGCCGTCCTACTACAGACAGGGGTTGCAATCATTCGTGACCGCTACTATAAATAGAACCTCTGTCGGATTCCCTTCAGATGTTGCAGTAGTGTTGGTATAGATATTCGCCTACAATCAACCGTAGCTCAAGTGCATACTGTGTTGCTGTTCTGTAGGTAGCGGAGCTTTTATCTTCCCCTTCAGATGTTGCAGGACCGTTAGTATTGTCATTCGTTTGCAATCATACGTCGCTCTGTGCATCTGTGCCCATCGTATCACAGCCTTTGTCTTCCCCTCAGACATTGCACTATCGTTTGCATACTTATCCATTCACCACCTCACGTAGCTCAGGTACGTGTTGTGTTGTATTGCTGTTGCATCTGTGCCCTTCTTATCACAGCCTTTGTCTTCCCCTCAGACATTGCATTATCGTTTGCATAGTATCCATTCCCCACCTCACGTAGCTCAGGTACATGTTGTGTTGTGTTGCTGTAGGTGGGGCTGCTGTCGCCGTTCCCTCAGGCATTGCTGTGGCCTTGGCCATTGCAGGAGGTGTTAGTAGCACACTCGTTGGTGTGGCTATCTCGGCGTCTTTGCTACCCCCACTCGTAAATGCTGGGTTCAGTTTCGTGATGTATATCGCATCGGTATGTGATAGAAATCAATCGTTCTGTATGTATATGTATATGTATATGTATATGTTCATGTACATATTCATGCATATGTAATTGTACATATATATACACATGTACATATACATATACATATACATATACATATACACATTCATGTACATGTGCATATACATGTACATATACATATAAATGTACTTATATATACATGTACATGTACATCATGGTTTACAGATGGATAAGACATCTTGTCGGGGGAATTAAAGTGCCCACTGACTTTAGCGTAGTGTATGATTTGTAACCACACTAATAGGATTACAGAAGTTGTGTGTCTAGTGTATGCAATAAGTGATGGAAGGAAGGCGTGATGATGGTAGGGTCTGTAGGGTCTGATTGTGGGTACAGAACGGATGTGTTTTCCACGAAGGGTGATCAGTCGGCGGTGAGCCTCAAGTGTGACCCCGCATAAAAAAGGAGCTCCGCGTCTGTGATATATACATACGTGTACCTGAACCAATACGCAATTTATTATATATATATATATATTTCTGTATATATATATATATATATACATCTACGTATTTATGACTATTTTTATATTCTTACATTGTTATATTATTATATTATGATATATTTCATACAATGTATGTTCATATATGTAGTGAGTAGTTTGGCTAGTCTTACCCCAGACTGTAAGTACACAGATCAATCCGTAGCGCGCACTGACATGAATGAATACCTGCAGAATGCTTGACTGTCTACATCCGTTGTCTTATAGTATTGATATATTAGGACTTGTCGCTTCTTTCCAAAAATGTCACTTTCAATATGTCAACAAATGATCCGCCTGGACTATTGAAATGCGCATTCGCATACGGGATGTAGCCGAATACGTTTGTAATCAATGTACCTACTCTCGGCTCAATACCATGTTCTGCATGGGCGTATGTACCACGTGACCTCAACGCCTCAACGTATAGATGCCACACGACAAGCGCATACCCAGTGAACTGCAGATGGCGCTTATCTCGCTGCTGCTGTTCTTCAATAGCATCTGCATTATCTTTGTTGTGGGAGTGCTGGTTTTTAAACTGAAGGTATGTGAAGCTCTAGCTTTTAAACTTAAGGTATGAATGCTATTTATCCTATATGTTTGGTCTTCTCTTTGGCAGTCACTTGCTGCTATTGATATCATATGCCATGTTCCTATGCTAATTATCCTATATGTTTGGTCTTCTATTTGGCGGTCACTTGCTGCTATTGATATCATATGCCATGTTCCTATGCTAATTATCCTATATGTTTGGTCTTCTCTTTGGCAGTCACTTGTTGCTATTGATATCGAATGCCATATTCCTATGCCAATTATCCTATATGTTTGGTCTTCTATTTGGCGGTCACTTGCTGCTATTGATATCACATGCCATGTTCATATGCTAATTATCCTATATGTTTGGTCTTCTGTGCCACAGGCCATAGCGCCTATGCGACACACAGCGGTTCTGGGTGTGCGGAAGGCAGACGACATGATACGTGACTCCGATGCCGTTTCGAACCTATCTCATCCCAACACCCGCTTCTACGGCAGCATGATGGACATACATCGGAGTCCGTTGCTAAGGCAACGAGGGACTGCCAATCTCACAGATATCAGTGTGCATGTCACAGGTGCACACACGCCCACATTCGTCGGGGCGGAGGACAGTCCTTTACTGGCGGATGCATTGGCGACCGAGGTGCGCTGAGGAGCGCTGATTGGGCCACTCATGCGTTGGCATGTGAGCCATAGAACTGATTGTACGGCCTGCTGCATCACTATGATGTCTGTGAACCATAGAACTGATTGTACAGCATTGTGTATAGCGTAGAGAACTGTTGGCGATAGAACTGACATCGCCACGTTGGCCATAGTTAGGGTGTTTAGTTCTCTGTGACTGTCGATGCAGCGTGCACTGTAGTTTAGTGAACTGATTGGATAGTTGACTTCAAGTGAGTCTCTATTCATCGCTGGACGTGAGTTGGATGAATGACAGTCAACTGTATCTACTGCAGGCGAAAATGTATTCTTATTCACAGTCTTACTTGAATTAATAAATAAAAATCCCTATCCCATATAGGTGGTGCAAGTTTGTAGGCTTACTTGACACTCACTGTGTGTTGCGGTTTGTGAGTGACCTTTCTACTATACACTCACGCGATAGCTCAGATATAGCCAGGTACTGATACATCCGCCCGAGGCAGGCTTGGCTAGCCCCAACAATAGTCTGATATATCGCTCGTTGGTGCGAATAAAGGAAGGACCTGAGGTAAATGCTCGTAGACGAAGTAGCTTGTTATTCTACCCAACTCAGTCGCGATTATATGTGTGTGGCTGTTAAGATAATTCGCGGCCTTAGCAACAGACACCCCCACCTGGTAATAAGAATAGGAGCTTTATCTATGCGTGATCATCGAACCACTATGGCCACAATTGAGGTAGGTAAAATAGATAAACCCTAGCATTTATTCTTATTTTTAGTGAGGGCTAAAGATTTATATGTATCTGTTTTAAGTATAAAATGATGCTCTAGTATCGAATTCTGTTCTGTATGTTTTATAGTATGCGATATATGTTCTGCTTCAATCTGATGAGATGCGTCCACCTTAAAATAATGCCATACTGACTCCCTCAATATAGGCTTCAGAAAGTTCGCCAAGAGTGAGGACTTGTGTACAACAGTTTGCACCCGCTCTACCCTTTAAGGCGCAGTATTAAGACGGTTTCTGATACAGCACCGTGTTGGGTCTACCACAACAAAATTAAAATTAAAAATGTGTTGTCTAGGCTTGCGGACACACCTGAATTTCAAAATTAGGGCTCCAATTGGCTTGAAATTGCATACATTCAGAAATGTGTGCTGTGCAGACTTGCGGCGACACCCAAATTTTTAAAATAGCACTCCAATCGGCTTGAAATTGTATGCATGCATCCATCCATGAATTGCCATCATAGGCGGCTGACAGAAAAGTCTTACATCACAGATAGCAATCTCTAGATGTGTTCCATTGAACACTTGCAGCTGTGTCTTGCAGCTGTGTCTTCCGCTCTGAAAAATCAGACAACGGCAGAGGCAATAACGTTTGTGGAAGCGAAGTAGACGTAGGTGATGCAGAAAGTCCAGGTGAGGGAGACACCGAAAGTCCAGGTGAGGGAGACACCGAAAGTAGAACAGAATACTACGATGCTGTAGAAATCAAGAAGTTGCTTTCAAAGGGGATGCCCGGAGAGAAAAATGGTAGTTTAAGACATTGATACTGATGTTTTGATATTAATTACTAATGGGAATTTTTAACAACATAACTGTTGCTTCTTTATTAGTAAGGATAATTTTATAACCACATTACTGATGATTTGCTACTAAATAGTAATAGTAGTTTTAAGACAAAAAAATACTTATGCTTTG